CAGACAATACCTCAAATGCATCATCTTCAAGCTCGTCGACGTTGAAAAAGTTCAGGTCTCTAGAAGATATTTATAGAGAGCTGAATGAAGCAGATGAGGAAGCAGTGGGTCTTTGTTTTCTTTCTATAGAGTTGCCAACCTTATATGAGGAAGCTGCTAAGAATGAAAATTGGAGAAATGCCATGAAGTCTGAAATTCTCTCCATTGAAAAGAACAGAACGTGAAAACTCATAGATTTGCCGAAGAATCAAAAAGCAATCGACATCAAATGGATTTTTAAATTAAAGAAAAATCCAGATGAAGAAATCATGGAACATAAGGCAAGACTCGTGGCAAAGAGATAACACAATAGTTTGGTGTAGATTACAGTGAAGTATTCACACCAGTGGCCAGGTTAGAAACAGTGAGATTAATTCTTGCCTATGCAACCATTAAGCATTGGGAAGTACATCATATGGATGTGAAGACAACTTTTCTGAATGGCGAGTTAGAAGAGGAGGTGTATGTTGTTGAACCAGAAGGGTTCGTTGACAAGGAAAATCCAAACATGGTATTAAAACTACGTAAAGCCTTGTATGGATTAAAACAGGCTTTGAGGGCCTGGAATTTTAAACTTGATCAATGTTTGCAGTCACTTGATTTGTTAGATGTCCACAGGAATATGCTCTCTACAAGAAACTTAATGGAGTTGAAGCAATGATAATCGGCACATATGTGGATGACTTAATCATAGCTGGCTCAAACAAACAAGTTATAGCTCAGTTCAAGGAAGAGATGCACCAGAAATTTTAGATGAGCAATCTTGGACTTCTGAGCTATTACTTGGGTTTTGAGGTATGATAAAGAAGTGAATCAATCACTTTATGTCAGGCCGGATATGCAAGAAAAATCTTAGAGAAGCTAGGAATGGGGGAGTGCAATCTTTGTTTGATTCACATGGAACCAAGAATGAAGATGAGCAAACATGGTAATGGAGAACCTGCGGTTGACAAAACACTTTACAGAAGTGTTATTGGAAGCTTACGCTATCTGGTTAATACCCGGCCCGACATAGCCTACTCAGTTGGTGTGATGAACAGATACATGGAGGTACCAACAACTTCACATCTCACTGTAGTAAAACAAATATTGAGGTATGTGAAAGGTACTCTAAGTTATGGTTGTGTTGGTACTCTAAGTTTTGGTTGTGTTTATAAGAAGCTGTCGAATGTGGAGCTCGTGGGATTTAGCGATAGTGATATTGCTGGGGATATTGATGATAGAAAGAGTACAATAGAGTGTTGTACTATTTGGGAGTAAATCCAATAACTTGGGTATCACAGAAACAGAAGGTCATGGCTTTGTCGTCATACGAGGTTGAGTATATAGCTGCAACTTCTGGAACGTGACAAGGAGTATGGTTGGGCAGGATTTTGAGTAACATCAGTCAACGGCAAGTAAAACCCAAGTTTAATGTTGACAACAAGACAGTTATAGCGTTGGCGAAAAATCCTGTTTACTATTATCGAAGTAAGCACATTGATACTAGGTTCCATTTTATTCGCCAATGTGTGTAAACTGAAGCTATTGAATTGGAATATGTGAACACAGATGAACAATTGGCGGATATTCTGAGAAAGTCATTAGCAAGACAATGATTCCTAAAGTTAGAAGATTGGCTTGAAGAAAGTCTCAAGATAGTTAAACAAGTTTAGAGGAGTGATTGTTTGTTAGAAACGTGTTTTTTTTATTATTTATTTATTTTTCTTATAAGTTTTTTTATTAAAAATAGTTGTTAGTATTTATTTTATTTTGTTGTTTATTTCTCCGTGAAAAAGGCTGGGGATAGGGTGAAAGGAAGGGTGGAAGTAGTGGAAGAGTGAAATTAATTTTTAGGGAGTGGAATTATTGGAAGGAGTGGTAGCTCATTTGTAACAAGAAATGTGTTACTTTTTTATTATATAAAAAAAACAGTGTAAATTAGCATTACACCACAAAAAGGAGATAAAATTAATTTGTCTGCTCCTTCTCCCCTCCTGTTATTTTCTTTCAGCGAGTTGGTTGTGACAATACCTCACAAACTCATGACGATGCAAATCCCTGAAAGGATAAGAGCATGATCAAGTATTACGCTTGTGAAAAATACAAACATTACGGTAGGGTGTCCATCAAGAAGCACAATGAGGAGGCAAATCTCACATTCACAAATGATGAAGCGCTCGCACTGATGTTGGCTGAGAAAAAGCTCAACTTGTTGATACTCAATGAAGAGTAGGTTATAGTGAACCTCCTTGCAGTTGAAGAAGATGAAATGAAGAATAAAATGTAATACCTAAGAAATGGAGCGAGCAATCACATGACTAGAGATCGAGAAAAGTTCAAGAAGCTTGATGAGAAGTTCATTAGAAATGTGAAGCTTTGTGATGGATCAATTGCACCTATCCAAGACAAATGACCCATCTTGTACAATATAATAACAACGATTAATGTCTATTGACCAAAGTATATTACATCTCGACTTTGAAGAACAATATTATTAGCCTTAGTCAAATGAATGAAGAAGGTAGCAGATTGAGTTAGTCGGCTCATTTCTCAAGATATTCAACCGAAACATAGGCCTATTAATGAAGGTAAATGGTCACGAAAGTGCCTGTATAAGATACTAACAAAAGACCGTCAACATCATCTAGAAGCCTCCATATGCACTGGCAGTAAGAAAAGGAAGAAGAAATCAAAGAGTAAGGAGAAAAAGTAACCGAAAAACAGAGCTAAAAAAAACTAGTGGCTACATCAATTAGCGAAAAGCAACCTACTAATGAGTGTGCTTCAGGAGACTTATTACCTCAACTAAGGAGGTTTAGAGGAAGAGGGTATAAGAAAAATAGGATACCAAACTTGTCTATCTCAACAAAAAAAAAAAAGTCAACAAAAGAGGTCTACAGGAAGACCTAAAAAGAAACAAATAGATTCATCCAATTACCAATTTGTTTCGACCTTTTTATTGAATATTCAGTAGATTCATCCAACTTGCTTTAGCACTTGTACTATTTTAATAAGGGTTGAAAGAAAAAAATAGTACACCTTACAAGATGAAGAATTTCCTATGTAGAAAAGAGAAACGAAGGAAATTGCACGTTGTAGATTTAAAATTTCTTTTGAAGAAGATGGAGTTGATCTATGACCAAGCAGCGTTGATATTACAGAGCAACGTGCATATATTCTCACCAAGGCAGCAAGGGTTAAACCTTGCAAACATGCGGGAGTTGCTCGGAGTGAACAATCTTAAGCAAAGTCAAACTTAGGAGGAGAATGTGAATCAATAAGCTTGACTTAGTAAAAATAGTTATTAACTTCAACATATTTATTGAAAAGTACAGTGATTAAGGTTTTTAGTACAAAAACTCTCTCCACACAGGTTGTTCTTTGTGTTATTTGTTTTTGTATACTTTGAAGCTTCGAGGCCTCCCAAAACAGGTTGTTCTTTGTGTTATTTGTTTTTGTATACTTTGAAGCTTCGAGGCCTCCCAAAGTTCAGATAGTTATAACACTTAGGCCTGAACATACAAGATAGCGGACAACAACAAGCATTTTTTGGATCTGTTGATGTCGAACACCCATTACGATTAGCGACCATTGCAACATTATAATAAATATAATGATCGTTTTCTTACCTATTAGCGTATGCATCCGTACCATCGTAAAAGATGGAGTATCCCCAATGCATGAACACACCATGATGGATGAGGTCTCAACATTTTTCCTTTCATTATTATTATTTATAACAACCCCTCTTTCACTTTTCTTTATATCATAACTTTCCATGCATATATCGAGGTTGTGCATTATGCCAATACATTATATTGCATATCAAACGTATCATATATCATATCATGTCAAGCATATGTCATATCATAACATATCGTGTCTTCTAACGAATCATATCATTCTATGCACATATCACATCGTATGTCGTATCACAACATGCATCGTATTGTAAATCAATTAGGTTATAACATATACCATAACATTCATATTTCATGTCACAAACATATCATCAGATATATCATTTCATAACTAATCATTATTGTAAACATATCGTTTCATAACATATATTATCTCATTCACATATCATATCATAAGCATATCATTTCATAACCTTTCACATATAACAAACATATGACACGTATAAAGCCACAAGGAACGTATCATCATACAACATTTAAGTTATAACCAACCATAGTAAGGCCACTTACTTGGTTGGCCTTATCCGACGTTTCCCTAAATTTGAATATGTTTGCATTTCTTCCCTCGAAATTGTTTCAAGTATCATCGATCGTTTTTTTCTATTAGAACGTTCATCTCGTTTCATTAATAACTCAAATTTCTTAACTCAAATTAACTTAAAATCGAGAAATTAGATCTTATACTGACCTTAATTACCTTAAACAAGATCAATTTTAGCTTCGAAATGGTCGAAACGGTAGAAATTATGAAATATCCTTTACTGAGTTGAGAAGTCTAGTTCTAACCTACAGAGTTGAACTGACTGAGCTACGTAAGACAAAGGAATTGTTGGTTGCAGGCGCAACACGTGGCATAGTGAGGCATTGATGCATGTGTAGGTCGTAATTTGAGTCGAGAAGCTGGCTTGTTGAATTGGTTTTGGGCCAAGATATTGTAGGTGGGTCGATCCATTTGTGTGAGTGGGTCTCAGGTGGCGGTGTTGCAAATTTGGGCTGCATGTTATTTGGGTTGGGTCTCCGCGAGTTTCGGGTTGAGATTGTAACGCCCCTAATTTTCTTTAACCTAATTCGTGACGTCACCCATGCATATATAACTCATTAAGTGGAAGCTCATCATAAATAACCTTGGAAGAGTCTTTCATAAACATTGATAAATCCAAAACAAAACCTATCTCCGAAAATAAACCTTCAATAACTGAATTCAAAATAAATTCAAATAAAACAATACTCAATGCTTATAACTTAAAACAGTCCAATAAGAGTAAACTTCTAAAAATATCCCATCTCCAACTTCCATGGTGTCCTCAGCTCCGCCGTCAGCCGTACATTGGCGCCTTGCCTTTACCTGAAAAATGTCAGTAGCACGTGGCTTGAGTATTTTATGAAATACTCAGTAAGTCACCCTATTGTTGGGGTTAGGAATGCAAACACATGCAACATATGAGCGGGACCTAACTTTTCATAAACTTTACATAGCCTTGGGCACTTTTCTATTCCGGGTAGGGTTGGGTGTGTGGTACTCCTTCACACACGGCCCATGTACGCGTACATGGACCCACCAGGCGGGCTCGTATACAAACCCCCTGGGCCTAGCTTGGTCGGGTACAACGTACTACACGTCGCCAGACACCACAGAACAGAAAAGGGCCCGCATGATATCATGGCGAACATAAATATCGTATTTCATTCTTTTGTAACATAAATGGGAAGAATCCCGATGCACGGGACATACATATATGCATGAGGCCCCTTAACATATCTAACATGACATTACATAAGCACTGCTAACATCACATATACGTTCTTACATTACATGGCATCTCACATGACTTACATTACATGACATATTACATAACATGAAAGTGCATTCCAATTGCATAAACATCTCATGACATGACTCGAGAATATTACGTTTATACATGGCATTGATCAACCTTTTCATGGCATATACTACTAACATATCATTCATAACTTCACATAACATAAACAGTCAACAGTCAGCATAATTCATACATCACATAGTTATATCACATAAATATGGTGCATGCAAGGGCCACAGGGCACGCACCATCATACAACACGTAGTAAGCTAACTCCAACAGTAAGGTCACTTACCTCGATGGTCTTGGTTGAAGTCACTCACAACGAGCTAATCCCAGCGGTTAAATACGTCCTCTGATAACCACATAAAAACTTAGGAACCTTTCATAACATACCCTAGCTAAACCTCATGCTATTTATCAAAATAAACCCCCGACCTAATCTGTCTTTAACGTTTAGGAACCATACTGACCTCGGATGGTAAAACTAAGGCAGAAACGGCTTCGGAAGGATCGAAAACCTTGAAATCGATAAATTATAGTATACCGAGTCACCAAGCTAAGCTGCCAAGCCGACCAACTAAGCTGTCAAGCAGAGCTGCGGGATTTGATGGAGTTGAGCCGCGGGTTTTGATGGAGTTGAGCTACCGTACACGTCAAGCCGAGCCGAGAGCACGCATGCGGAGCTGAGACCAAAGTTGCAGCGTGCGTCTGTGTTGGGCCGAAACGCACAGGGCCCGCGTTCGTTTCGTGGGTCGGTTCAAAGGTCGAAACCCGACCCGACTTTGCGTCTTCTTTACCCGAACCCTCATGAAAACCCTAATCTGATGTGCTGCCACCGCCGATGCTGACGACGCAATCCCTTCCGTTTCCGACGACGGTATGTGGTGTCCTCCTCCTTCGTTCCGACGGTTTTCCTTCTTTGATGCAGCAATTCTGACGTCGATGTTAACTTTCACTTGACTCTTCCTCCAAAACAGCAACACAATCAGTTTCGAGAACTCGCCAAACAAGAAAACTACCCAGCAAACCACCCACACATTTTCCCAGCTAACACTCTACTCTCAGACACCCTCGAAAACCTAAAAAAATTTGGAGAGCAAAAGTCGTTTCCAAGGAGGGAGGAGAGTTGAATATAGGAATATAAAGGGTCTTATGACTTTTCCATTAAGGTAGTAACTTCCTTGTTGAAAATCGCAACTTTTGGGGCGAGAATAAATGCATAACATAATATCTTATCATTTATAGAAATAAAAATAAAATCTTAACCAAATAAGGGAAAAATGGAAAATCTAAATCGTTACTAAGACGTTACAAGTATTTGGCCTGGGACGTGATTCTGGACAAAGAGGTTGGGTTGGCTAATAGGTTATGGGTGGATGACTAACCTATATCCAGATCCATCGAATCTCTTCTGCACCTGATTCTTGCAACGAAAACAATGCAACGAAAACAATGGTTTTTTTCCATCCTCAAAATGTCGTCCGCTTCTGTTCTCTAACATTATCTCCAACGTTCTTAGAGTATAATAATGTTGCAGACTTGCTTACAATACATATCCAATATGTTTCAAATTTTTATGCAACCCATATCCCATTTGCAACGAAAATACGCCCAAAACAAGGGTTATCGAGCTTACCATGATCTATCTTGTGCCTTTGCCAAATTCTTTTGCCTATTTACGCCAAAAAATACAACTACCTTTTTATTTTTCCCATGTTCTCTCTCTATTTTCTCATGAAAGGAGCGTTTCTGGAGGGTGGCTGAAGATTGTGATGGTCGGGGAAGCGAGGAGAGCAAGAATTCTAGCCTTTTTTTTTTTTTTTTTTTTTTTT